CACTGTTCAAAATCCGGAAAAATACGCCCGCAAATTTTACGGGAGTTCCAGCATAAGTATGCTTGAACTCCCGTAAATTTTACGGGAGTTCCAGGATAACTATGCTGGAACTCCCGCAAATTTTACGGGAGTTCAAGCATAATTATGCTGGAATTCCCGCAAATTTTACGAGAGTTCCAGCAAGTATAATTGTCCAGTATAATATACTGGAGTTTGGAGCACTGGTGCTCCAGTCTCCCGCAAATTTTACAGGAGTTAGCAAAGTATACCGGTCCAGCATAATATGCTGGAGTTCGTACACAAATGCACCAGAACTCCCATATATTATACTGGACCGGTCCCTGTTGCAGCAAAATAGTGGCTATTTTTCATTGACTTGATAAACGCTGGCTATTTTTCATTGACTAGTGTAAAAACTGGCTATACCATGATATTTTAACAAGTTTGCGTGATTGCCTCTGCAAGTCAGGCCAAACTTCAGGCAAACACTTCTGAAGTTCAAACTTCAGGCAAAAAATTCTGAAGTTCAAACTTCAGAAATTAATTTTTGCTACTTTAGGCCTGTATGCCTGAAGTTACGCGAAAGTGGGTACGCTTGCAATTTTTTTTGCAAAGCGGGTATATGTTAAAAGGTGGCTCAAAAATTGGGTATAGATGCAAATCCTACTGGAATTTTTTCTTCTATCTTTTTTCCAGAACCTCCTAAAGTTCCAACTAAGAAGAACTAAAAAGGTGAAATAATTTTTCATTATCTCAGTTGAAGTAATGAGCCTCCCGGTATCGAGAGGCTCAGTATTTCAACTAGTCTCCATGTTCCTCGAATGAATCTCTTAGTTGTTGAGAAGGTAAATTATGTTAAGCTAGCGTTTGGATATAGATTTGGTTAAAACTTGAAAAAGAAAGTTTTTGAAGTTGTGTTGAAAAATAATTTTTGGAAGTTAAAATTGTGTTTGGACATGCATTTTTCTAAAGAAACATAGAAGTTTTGTGAGTGGAACAAAAAAATTCACCCAAAAATTGGTTTTTTTGGTGAATTTGAAAATGTTTTTCAAATTTTTTTTGCAAAACTGATCATACTCCATGAACAAATAATGTTTTTTTTTTAAAAAAAATTAAAAAGTAGCCAAAATCTATAGCCAAACTTGAGCTTAATTGCCGTCACATGGTCCCACATGCACACTCGTTTCGTTAATCTATGCTGTTTAATGTAGATTCCTTTCATTAATTGCCTGTCAAATAAGGTTTAAGATACTCGGCGTAGTTGACTTCTTGAAAATATTTAGTGAAAAAATTATAGATAATTAATTTTGATTTAATAAAGTATACCAAAATAATACCTAGAAGATGTAGAACTCTAACATGTAATACGAAAATTAAAATAATATAATTAATATTAACTTAACACTCTAACTATAATAAATTTTTGTAAGTATAAAGTAATATTGAATAAACTTCCCTCAAAATGTTTGGTTCCTATCACACTAACATTTCTTATGAATTGTAATGTTACGTTTGCCTCTTTTATTTAATTTTATATAACATATGCTTTAAGCTAATTATCACCAATGCAAACTGATTACAGTCTGATCGATTTGCTCTTTAATAATTAATATTCCACTATTTTGATTAATTAATTTGATTACTTTTTTTTAAAAAAAATTCCTTCAGAATAAAACGTAATACTCTAGGCAATTTGGTGTACACCCAATATTTCTTCAGTTCTGAAATATTTTTTAGTGTTTTCTACTTCATTCAATGGTGTGTTCCTTGGGTGAATTGCTGTAATAGGTAATTTGCTTTCTTCACCTGGTATGGCTTTGTATTTCTCTTTTGCTGCTCTAATCTCTACAGTGATGCATTTGTGTTTGTCATCGTATTTTCAAGACTAAAGGTTTGTTATTGAGAAAATGGCGAGGATCCGGACTCATTCATCTTCCTTAACTTTTCATATTTTCAGAAGTGTGAGTTTGAGTGTCTTTGTGGATTACTAAAAACTTGGTTCGTTGCCTTACTCTTAAGCGTAAGCAAACATAAACAGTAAAGTAAACACAGCGAAAAATCATCCTGCTCAAAAGGTATAAAAAACACGACCTACCACGTGGGATTTTAGCTTCAACTTCACTAGAACAATGAGCCAAATGTATCGGTTAAAAATCTGTAACTGAATACTCTCCAGTTCTCCTTCTTCAACTAATTGAATTACAAGTTACTCTAACTTGAAAAATCAAACACTGACTCCAACTCACTAATTATATATAACACTTTGATTATAACTCGGTTTCCTAAAACACATTTACTAGACTGACTCAAGAAGAACACACAAATGGTACTCGACTTGAGTATGGAAAATGCAGTTCTTCAGTTGATGTGTAAAAGGATAATCTCAGCAGTCCAAAAAGATGGTATTTAAATTCCCTGGACTCCGAGATCTTTTAGGAGTCCTATGCGTAATCAACTTCTCGTTTGATAGGACTCCTACTGCTCAAAGAACTCCACAATTCTTGGAACTCTTGTCTCTCGCTTATGCAAACATATCTTCTTGGGCAACAACCCTTGTCATATTTAGCAGTCCTCTTCCAACAAACTCGGACTTGGGTAACTTTGAGATAAAGTTACAGTCTTTCAAGAACGTGCACTCATCAACCATGAGGAGCTGGTTCTTAGAGCAGTTAAGGAGCTACGTTGAGGACCTGGTTCTTATAGCATTTCCTTTGAACAAACTTTGTTAATGATTAAAACCTCAATATTCAACAAATCCCCCCTTTTTGATGATAACAAACTTTGTGCACATTAATACCAGGTAATCACCTCATACCACCACACTATGACCAGAGCAAGTACAACATATGTAAGATAAGCACACAAACAAGCACATCAACCCCAAACCCCAACTCTATCTTCCCCCTTTTGGCATCATAGAAAATAAAAGATGTTAGACAAACTAAGCACAGTTAATGAAAGATTCATGGCCATTTAGGCTACAACACAATCTCAAGAATTATCAAAGCAAATAAACTAAGCTGATGATATAACCATGTCCGAAACATTAAAACATCATAAGAGAACTTATTTAGCAGTGCCAAATTAAGCCTAGGGCCTTGACTCAAAACATTAGAGAAAAATAACCTAAACTTCCTGCAACCTAATCAGAACTAGAACAAAAGAACAAGAACTAAAGCACCACTGGGTTATAAAATAAGCTGAAGCCATGGGGTGAAGGACCAGGGTCAAGGGTGAGAGGAAGAGGGGGTCAAGGCTTTCACAAGGGTGGCAATATATTGGGCATGAGCCTCTCTATCCCTTATAAGCTCCTCCCTAAGCTACCTGGTTTCTTTTTTCAACTCATCATTGTCTTCTCTAAGCTTGGAATTCTCCTCAAGAGCTAACTCCAGCCTTTTAGTGAGCTCTGTTGTCCTGCTGCTACCAGGTAGAATAGCAGAACTTGTTGGTCCCCTAGCCTTGATCTTCTCATAGCCACACTGCTTGAGGGTAACAGCATCCAAAACATCATTGTGGTTTCCAAACTTAAGCTCATAAAAGGCAACATTGAGCTTGTCAAATAGCTCAATTAACATGAAGCCATACGACATAGCATGCTTAGGCTTGGAAGTGTCTGCAGCCCTTGCCATATGCTGAATCATCAAGCTAGGGATTGATTGCTCTACCAGTATCAAGTAGTTCCATCACAGCCATGTCCAGCAGGGTAGCCTCGTGCCTCCTCTCAGATCTCTACAATATGCAGGAGTTCACAAACAACAACTTGTAAAATGAGTCATATTAGTCTTGTACACCTTCTAGGGAGCATCTAACTCAAATTTCTGAGAGAACTTCCTTGAGACCACAATTCCTGTGTCCACATCATTATCTATGGCTGGCTATTTTTTCTTCAAGTAATTGTCAAAACCTAATGAGGGAATATTCAGTAGCATCCTAAGCTCTTCAACATCAAACTCCATCTCAAACCCCCTTACAGAACTCTTGACCACTTTGCCATCAAATTGAAAGTTTGCATAGAACTCCACCACCGCAGGCGCACAAACAGGAGGGAATGCCTTAAAAAACATTTGTCTCCATCCCTGTAGCTAAAGTTTTTCATAACTGGGCCATACCTTTCTAATCAAGAATTTTCTCATACAACACTTTTCTATTCCTGAATTTAGTAAGATTATCAACCACAACTGGTATAACCCTCCTTTACTTTCCCTTATCGGCCTTCTTAGCTGTGGTAGCTTCCCTGGTGGTTTTAACAGCCTTTCTCTTTTGTGCTGATGTCTTTTCTTGCAAAGTAGAGTCAGACTCATCCCCTTCATCCAAATCAACTACAGGTTCAGCAATAGGAACTTGCTTTCTTGGCTTTTTGGCACTTCTGGACTCCTTAATGATCTATTCATCAACAACCTTTCTTTTACTCCTTGCGAGAGGAGTCCTAGCAGGAGGAGCCACTTCTTTTCTTGTTGGGACAATTGACTTTGTTGCTTTCACAGGAGCCTTCTTGCTCTTCTTCCCTATTGCAGACAGGGATAAATCATCCTCATCACTATTGACCTCCTCATCTCCTGTAAAAGGGGTTAACAAAGGCTCAGTTTCTTCAGCCCTTTTTTCTCCACTTGCTTCTTCCTAAGGGGCTATGACAGTGTTCCCAATAGCCATAGAGCCTTCATATTCCCCACTTGCATTCTCTTCCTCACTCTCTCGTTCAGTACTCTCACTTTCATTTCCCTTTTCTTCTTCCTAGCCTTCACTCTCAGAATCACCTTCTTCCTCACTATCTTTTTCTTTCTCTCCAGAATCCTCCACTTGTTCGTCTAACTTATCTTCTGCCTCACTCTCCTTTTCCTCTGCAGATTCCCCCTCATTCTCACTCTTTTTCTCATTAGTATCATGAGCCATGTCCTGAGCCTAATGCTCCTCATGACTAGCCACCACTCCTCCTTCTTCCTCAGCTCCATCATCACCCTCATCCTCAGTCCAGCTAAAAGAAAGACCATCAGAAGCCTCTTTATTCACTGGTTTTTTCTCACCTTCCCCCTCAACCATAGATGTAAAATTTGTGGCATCTACCCTTTTCTCCTGAGTTGCAGAGTCTGTTTCTACAGTAGGATCCTCCACTCGTGGTTTGTCACTTATGGTGGAACAATATCTAAGGGTGAAAACTAAATAGCAGAAACCAGAACATCTAACTTTGATGGAGGTAAGTTTACCTAATCTGTAGTAGTTGGCACAGATTTCGTGATCTACAGCTTCCTTAACCACTGTGTCCTCCTTACCAGCAGCACCAATCACCACCTTATCACTATTAATAGATTTTCTTGAAGTAGCCTAGATCTTAGTGGGCTTAGAGGTGGTTTTTGAAGCAGACACAGGTGCATAGGAAGATGGTTTTGGGAGTGAAGGTGCAGTAGAGGTGGGAATAGTGGGTGCAACAAGAACAGGGGATGATGGTGCAGGTACAGTAGAGGGTATAGGTGGAGAATGAACAGATGTAGGTGCACGTTCACTTATTGATTTTGCACTTTTCTTTGATTTGGGCTTCATGTTTTTTGATTTGGCTTCAGTCTTGGATGAGGATTTTGCTTAGAGGGAGTTTGGATTGATTTAGGCATAGTGATGAGAGAATGAAATTTATGAAGGAACGAGAGAAATTTTTCTTTATTCTTGCTTAGGATTTAAGAGGAACATTGACGTCAGATAACCATATCAAAATGGGGCTTTTAAAGAGGATACTCCTGATTTGACTGGAAGAAAGATAGTAGTTGAATTTGACTTCTAACTGGACTTTAATAACGGTTACTTTTGACTATTAGACTTTTAGGAGTAATTAGACTCTAATTGCTCTAGGATTCTCCGTTAATCTTTGACTAGATAACAAATATGAGTGATGCTAACAGGATTAGAGAGTCTAAGTATAGCAGTAATTTCGTATATTAAGCCCCAATGAATTAAGACAAGATGGCGCGTACCTGAGTCAAAGAACTAACTCCTTTGCAACTCCTTACTTATTTCTGGAATAAAGCTTCGGCATAATATGTTAGTATCATAAGACATAGTTATCAACTAGACTTTTCTGGGTGAGTGTATGTGCTCAAGACAAGCACGAGACTGAATCAAACACATTATACTCAACCATCTACATCTAATCATAAAGTTTTTTAGCCAATCATTGGGGTTCAACCTAGTTGAAAGTATTAATTAGACCCAGTTCCAGTTTGTTCCTTTCAAAGTGATCCCTACTCAGAGCTTTAGTGAAAATATTAGCAATTTGGTCTTTAGTTTTACAGAAGTTAATATAGATATTTCCATTTTCAACAATGTCTCTGAGAAAGTGATGTCTAATGTCAATGTGCTTAGTTCTCTTGTGTTGGCAGGGATTTTTAGCAATGTTTATGGCACTAGTGTTATCACACAAAATAGGAACACAATCAACAAAAATACCATAGTCCCTTAGCTGTTATCGTATCCATAGCAACTGAGCACATCAAGATGTTGTTTCCACGTACTCTACTTCAGCCGAAGACAAAGTTACTGAGTTATGCTTCTTTATTCCCCAAGACACCAGTCAAGAACCAAGGAAGTGTGTTGTTAGAAACTGTGCATCCACCAGACTGTATAGAGAACCAGGTTCTCTATATGTTTCCTCTGAAAATACTGATGAACCAAATTGTGTAGCCATCTGGTCCTATATCAGTTTGGTTCACTGATAAGTTTGTGTGAAACCACCAAATAGTAGAGTACCTGGTCCTTTATCGGGTTCTGCTGTGAATGCTAGTAAAGCTGAATGTAAATAAGGCAGAGGGTTTTTTACATGGAAAAATCCCACACAAAGGGATCAAAAAACCACGACCTACACCTGTAGGCTTTTAACTTCACTAACTTGCAATCTCCCTATTACAAGCCACTTTACAATAACCATATTGCAAAGACTTCAACTAACTTGTGATGCTCTCAATATAAGCCACTCTATAACTATCTTAGTTACAAAGAATTTGACTAACTTGTGGTATTTCCACCACAAGCCACTTTGTCACACTACGGTTACAAAGGCTTTGACTAACTTGTGATGTTTCCACCACAAGCCACTTTGTCACATTACGGTTACAAAGGCTTTTGCTTATGACTCAACCTACTCAGGGAGTTTACGGATTTACAAAGGGTTCCTAATCAATACTTCTAAGAAAGATGGATATGAGTTACAATGAAGAACACATAACAAAGACTCAACAACCCTAAGGACTTACGATAGCATCAATCTTGGATCAGGTCCTTCAGGTTGCAGCAGCTTTGTTTTTCAGAGAGGTTCTTGAGCACTTGAGAGAATTTTCGTTTTTGTATTTGCAAGTGTTGAACCTGAATCTTATGCCTTGCTTAAGGTTTATACTACACAAGACATCCTTAGTGATGTCCAATCTCAATGGGAAGTGACTGCTACACTGTCTGTTGCACTGCTGCAGGCAGTCACTTTCTGCAATTGCTTTCCAGCTGTAGTTGACTTGTACTTCTGTCAGAGAACCCTAAGGGACCATGTCCCTGTTGTGTTCCTCTTTGTACAGTTGCGGACGGTCACTCTCTTTAGTTGTGTTCCAGCTGTATAGTTGATTTGTACTTTTTTTCCAGGGGAGCACCAAGGGATCAGGTTCCTGATCTGGTACGAGTGCACACTGCCCAGATTGTCTTGAGTTGAGTTACTTGAATGATGTTTTGTATAAACTCATTGTACTTTAGTTGATCAGAGAATGAGTGGGCGCTGGGAACAGTGTAGTGCGGCAGAATCTTCGTTTCCAGTTGTGTCCAATTGACTTTGTACTACCGTGAGGAACCCACAAGAGTATCAGGTCCTTGTTTGGGTTCCTACCTCTTGAAGCTGTAGCAAGATCACATTTGGCTGGAATGCATTTGATGCAGTGTAATCCAAGTGAGTCAGGTTCCCTATCTGGTTCTTGACATTAAGTTTGTTAGATCATCAAAACACAAGGCAAAGATATTGAAAACCTATCGATTTCCACCTTTTTGATTATGACAAACTTAGCATTGAAAAGGAGGAGTTAGAGTTCAGAGAACTAGATTGAATAACAGGATACCACAGGTTCCCCCTGACTTTATGCCCTTACTTACACATGTTTCCCCATATGTTCCCCCTGACTTTTTACTATCGTTCCTGGTCTTTTATCTGGTTCCATACAGAAAGTTTGTTAGATCATCAAAACATAGATTAAAAGACTTTAAGCCCATCAATTTCCCTCTTTTTGATGATGACAAACTTTTAACATTGATGACTATGTGACTTAACCAGATAAGGTACCAGCAACTACATATGTTCCCCCTGACTCTATTCTTCCTCCTGACATATGTCTGTTCTTCCTCCTGACATATCTCTGCATATGTTCCCTCGCTGACTCTATTCTTCCCCCTTTTGGCATCATCAAAAGACACAGTCAGACAAAAAGGCATAAATAAGTTCAACAGAGCTAACTCATGCCAGTATGTGCACACAATCATGATAGAAAAGAGAAGCAAAAGGGAAAACAAGCATTATACAAGCAAAAGAAGAGATGTTTTATTGATAAGAAATTTGACTGGTTCAACAGGAGCAGCAACGGGAAAATCCATCATGCCATCACAAAAAGATAAACAAAAAAGAAAAACAACAGCCACAAAATCATCAGAGCAAAAGATAACTGGCCACTGAGAGGATCCTAAGGGGCACTAGAAGAGAGAGGCTTGGAAGAGGAGGCAACAATGGTTTTGAGAGCTAGGTCCAAGAGGGCAGTTGCAGACAACTGTTAGTCAAGCAGTTTCTCCCGCAGGTTCTCCACTAGTTGCCTAAGTCCAGAACTTTTCTCATACCTGCCATCTCCTAGATTGTCGGGCAAGCGTACGACCCCACAAGATGTTTTCTGAGTTAACTCTCCTGCCCAAGGCCACTGTCACTTAGAATGGTCTTCACTGAACCAGGTCCTCCCACAGTTTCCCACTTTTGTTTTCTAGATATTTCAATAAACTTCCCATTCCTGCTTGCAACAGGCACAATGTCACCCTCAAACAAATCTTTCTCAGCCACAACCTTTTGTAGATCTTTCCACTAAGGAACTAGGTTCCTCCACAGCATCTTTATCTACCTCAACCACTGGAATGTGTTTATCAGCCACAGCTTCCCCTATCTCATCAACCTCTTCCCCCCTCCCCCTATTTTTTTAATACTCTGCTTGTTCTTCTGCAAGGCTGACTCAAAAGCCTCTTTCTTCTACAACCACCTGGTTTGTTTCAGCTAAAAGAGAATCAGGTCCTTCAACAGATTCTTCTATGCCGGTGTCATGAACTGGAGACTCAAAAAGCACCAGAGTCCTTTCATCCCCTAAGAATGGAGTTTCTCCCCTCTGAGATTCAGGAACAGAGGAGAAATAGGGTTTGCAACACATGGAAGTAAGACTGGAGATGAGGTGACTAGAGATGAGGAGGAAACCGGTACGGGTACAGTAGTATCAGGGATAGTGAAGAAGTGGGTTTCCGGTGATGGTGTTAAGGGAGGAGGAGATGTGGGAGTGATGTTGATGGCAAGAGAAAAAGACGATTATTTGTTGGCCATGGTGAGAGAAGTGACAGAGAGTTCTGAAGGAAAAATTAAAGTGATGCAAAGGGAGACAATGGTTTAGAGCTGCTGGTCTGAAAAGTCGGATGATGTGGCAGTTGAATTAATTTTGCTATCCTTTTTCTTTGAACAAGCATGCGAAAAACACATTACTAGTAACCTGTGGTGCAGGAACCAAGTTCCTGACCTATTTTTGTAAAAAGGTTTTTGCAGCTCTCCTCCGAAGTTCAACATTGTACCTTTAGCTTCTATGATCATCATGTGTGTTTACCTGCAACGGTATAGATGTGAGTTAGGCCTAGTCAGA